TGACCATTGGGCCTGGGTAGTGGTGAAGAGTATGGTCACATAGAGAGCTTTGAAATGCATGGTTTTTTATTGAGATGCACGCATGGGTATTGTCTAATGCGTGGATGATTTGCAATTAATGGTATCATGAAGTGTTCTAGTAACTAGGTGAGGCAATAAATTTTATATGTATATGGATATATAGGAACAAAAACTATCGAAGAGGCAGTTATCGACGAGATAGTAAATAAAAAGAGCAATTTGCCGCTTCACGAAGAAATGCTTTGTGTAACGGGAAGCATGTAAACTCTGTTTTGAAGAAGAACGAGAAAAAGAATGAGAAAAACTACAAGGGGCGAATCTATGGTAGAAACTGGTAGTAGGTACTCGAGATCCAATATTCGCTATTTGTCCATCATGGCCTAGAATCCTTCGTGCGGTGCCCATTTTTCGGGGGTTTATTCTGCTTATATTCCTCCATAGTCTCGGTCCCAGACGCCGTGTTTTTCCTGATTGTAGACTTCGCTCTCTAGGCTCGTGACTATGCACTTTGCATTTCCCTGATTTCTTCTTCTCTTTATTCTTCTATTTCTTCTTGCTGTTCTTCTTCTCCCTACCTACCTTTGCTGCTCTTCTACCAGTTCTTGTTACCTATTTCATTTTCCTCCTCTTCCTCTTCCTCGAAACTTGCTCCCTTTCCTCCTCTTCCTCCTCTTCCTCCTCCTCTCTCTTCACCCACTCTAATGCCTCGATGAGTTTGTCAATATTTGTCTTCTCACGAGGCATACCCAATCGACCTGGCACTTTTTTCCCCCTCACTCGCCTTTCTCGCTCTATGTAAGAATCAAAGCTCGTCTTTTCAGCGTGACGAGCCTTGATAGTTTCGTACACTAGTTCTTCGACTAGCCTGGAGCGTGCAGTGGCAAGTGAATCAACATTCGCAGCCATATAATCCTCATCCATAATCCCACTCGCAGATGGGGAGGGAACATAAGAGTGGGAATCGTGTGCATTGTAGTAGCGCCCATTACCCCTACTGTTGTCTCTCTGGTAGAGGCATGGCTCCGAGGGAGACACAGTGGAGGAGTCGGACTCATTTCGCACATTAGATAGAACCTGTCGGACCCCACACCAGAGCGGTGGGGCCGATTGGGTATCTATGCGAAGGGATAATCGTTCGCTGGTCTCAAGGAAGGAGTGAGGATTCCAGAATTGAAGCACGGGCGGGGGAGAATTAGCTTGAACCCGGCTCGTGATATGGGTTTTACCCCAGCTACCATTGTGAGTATTTTCCCCTTCACTGTGATCAATGGATGGGTCATCAATGGTAGCTTGGGAGTCATAGTCCTCGGCTTGAGGAGATCTTGGGGGGGTCGTCAACGGCGATACCGTTGGAGCGACAGGAGAGACAGAGAGATAGCGGGGTGGGACCTCAATTTCAGTGGTGGGATCCATGTTGTGTGCTATCGGTGATGTTTATAATATATAATTTAACGATTTGGTAATCGGTAATTGGTAATCGGTAATCAGAACTTGAATTTCGGGAGACGATTGGGTTGGTAGATGTGTGAATGTGTAATTTATGTGTCGATGAGAGGGTTCCTGTTCTTCCTAAATACTGGCGGGGAGGTTACATTCTACTTAATTAATAAACGCCATGCGACGACTGATCATCAACCTATGCATAGAACACCATCTGGCAGATCATCTTTTTCCAGAGAGCATCACGAAGTCCATCCAGGAACGACTCGGGGCTGATGAAAGGTCCACGGTCGACGGTATTTAACAGACCGGTGATGTTCCTGAGGAGCATCAAGTGATCAAAGACGCAGACAGCTGAGCCCGTATACCGTAACTCGAGCGAGGTCTTCCTGCTTTCTCGTTCTTCTTCTTCTTCTTCTTCTTCTTCTTCTTCTACTCCTCCAGCTCCCTCTCTTCTCTTCTTCTTCGCCTTTATTCCCCATTGCTTTAATCACTCCCATCACCATCACCACCATCACCAACCACATCATCACTCCCACCAACTCTCAATTACCCTCACAGAACCATTGGCATTGCCATCATCACACTCTTCAGATCCTTTAGCACTGCTTGTAACCTCGCTTCTCACAAGGCATAGGGCTGTGGCTTCTCTAACAGTCTCTCTATCCCCGGACTCAGTTTCTTGCTGCTAGCTGCCACTCATTTCCCACGTGCTGCTGCGACAAACCACTTGAATACTTTGATACCTGATCATCCATAACACCCTTTGATACTTTAACCAGAAAGAACCGACTGGGAATCACAACATGGTCACTCTTAATCCATCCAATATCCATCTACTAACGTTAGAAGATATGAGTAACCCTATTTCGCCGGCTCAACCAATGGGGAAGCCTTATATTCTCAACATCCCACCAGAAGTCACGTATCTTCTCCTCGATCGTGTAAGTTCATCCGTGTTCTTTTTTTTTCCTGCCCAAATTTTGTGTCTGTGTTTGTCTGTGTGTGCGATAAAAAAGAAGGGAAAGGATTGACGGTGACGTTTCTAAATAGCTTGAAAAGAATGACATCGCTGCGCTACGACTTACTTGCCACGACATGAATAAATTGACACAGGAGCGCTTGTTTAAGCGCTTAGTCGTTAAGCCCAGACACAACCTTACAAAGCTCATGAAACTTAGCGACGAGATAGCTCAGCATGTTCAGAGCATTGAGTTCTTCCCCCACCACTCAGGCGATACATATTGGTATCATGACGAGGATAGATACCAGCCGCCCTTGTATTTGAGGGTGCCATTTTTTCCTAAACTTAATGCTGTGCAGTATGTTGCCCCTTAGTATCATAGTAGTTGCTGGACTTTTTAGTCGGTGAGCACTTGCTAAGATCTCGGTGTGACCTGTAGTTTATATGGACACGACCTTCAGATGAGGAATGCTGCACATAAACTTCTTGAGATGCACCATTTCATCAAAGATTTAACCATCTATTTCAGGCAGTGGTATTTCACACCAAAACACTGGGAAAGGGAGCTCCAAAGGATTCGAAGTCTTGAGACTCTCTCTATCCGTTTTGGGTGGGCGAAAGAAGAATCGTCAATGCGGTTGGCATACATGCCCTTAAATCTCGAGACAACCACTCCAATTTGGGGCATGATCAATGCCAATTCAGACTCTCTGAAGAGTTTGAACCTTGAATTTCCCTCTCGTCCTGCTGGGACGGGAGAAAACTTCCGTGTAATGCCATATCACACCTCCAAAACGTCCGAACTTGTCCCCGCTGCCGCAGGAAAATGGGAGAAGCAGCTACAGCTTGAAGAGTTGAAGTTGCAATACCTTGAGGAATTTGGTAAGGTTTATGAAAGCACAAAGTTCTTCGACCCTGAGAAATTGCAGATATTCAGTCTCGTCAACTGCCCCGAATCGGATGCAGTCCTCCTAGAGCTCGTGGGATCGATGACCAACCTGAAATCCCTCCAGGTTCGGCATAGCATCAGTAACTCAAGCACAATCCCGATCTTGCTCAAGCGACTCCCAGCGTTAGAAACTCTTCATATCGCAATCTCAGCAGATATGGATTTCGATTACAAATGGCTCGCTTCCCAGCAGCGCAGTGTCAAGAACCTTTGGATCGAGGCCTTAGCTGACCGAAGCAAGGACAGTGATAACTTCGAGGCCTGGGATAGCCTCGAGGAGCTGGCTATTATGAAATCACATCTGGCAAACGGCCGGCGTTCCGGGATCATGTGCTTGGTAAGCCCTGTATCCTCTATTTCGTCGAAGGTATCTATGGATATATGGCCAATTAATTTACTGACTGTGGGTTTCTCGCCGAAATAGAAAAACCTCAGGATCCCTGCAAATCTGAGGATGATCCGCTTGCTACATCCCACGGGTAACCCCACCAGAGATTTCGATCAAACCCAGGCCATAAAGATCATTGAAGCGCTAGGAATCCGCCAATTCCGAACGATGTCGGCGAAATACCCTCGGACCCCCAGTGGTAAAATGAAGAGAATGTACATCAAGCCAAACTTAAAGATTTTGGCCGTCGGAAGTAGATTCGAGTGCCGGCATACCCACGACCGTACAAGGGTCTTGAAGCTGAACTATCAGCACACTGAAAGATTGGGGAAGTTCAAGGGGGACTTCCAGCGCATCCCCACGGCGGAATTTGCGCGAGAGTATCCGGATACGACATTGCTTTCCTACGGGGAGGAGAGGGGGTCGAGAGCTTGGTTGGGGAAGCCTTTTACGACGGAAATGTGTTTCAGAGATGATGTTATTTGAAAATTTTCGTGCCTACATACAAATATGTTTTTCTTTTCTTTTCTTTTTTTCTTTTCTTCGCTGTTGTTATTTCAGTACTGCTATTTTTTTTTCTTTGTTTAAAAAAAAAAAAAAAAAAAAAAAACGCTGCGCTACCTTCTGCTAGAACGGGGTCTGGGGTTTGTATGTTTCAAGAAATATTACGGCGTTATTACTGCTACTACTACTACTGCAACTATTCCTATTTTTATTCTTTACTAAGAAGTAGTCTCGTAGCAACCAAGAAACAGAGCGTGCTTGTGATCGCCGTAGATCGATCGTTGATCAGACAACACATATTGAGGTCAGGGTCGGGAGTGCGTTGTCCTGTTGGATAATCGTTTTTGGTTGAGTTGAGAAACTTCTGCTTCGGTTTGAAGTTCAACCTTGACCTCATATTGCTGCCCCATATGATATCATATAATGAATCTCGATTACGGTCAAGGCAGCTTCTACTGGAAAGCTATTCTAGCGGGGCCTTGCGATTGATCATGGTTATTTTGCTCTTGAATGTCAATACTTCGCGCACTTCCTATAGAGAATTTCCGTCTAAAGGCATATCTTGCAAGAAATATTCTACAAAAGCCACCATCAGTTCCAAAGTTCAAGAGAATTAGTACCTAATATCTTTCATGCATGTTAATAGTCAAGCTCTGTCCACAAAAAGAGCCAGGATGTATTTGGTCAGAGCCAGAAATACCCGCGCCACACGTCGGTGCCTCAACAAATAAGCAGCCGGCATAGTATAGTGGTTAGTACGTATCGTTGTGGACTCATCGTTTCGAAGGATGGGAGCAATTCCGATACAGCCTCAGTTCGATTCTGAGTGCCGGCAAATGCGAAATCTTCTTTCGAAGTCTTTCTTTTGTGAACCTTTTTTTTTTGTTTTCTTGAACCTGTCTTCGGGTCACGGTGTGGTTTGTAGAACCTTCCTTGTTTGGAGGTTAGTCTCGAAACAACTTTTTTTTTTAGTCTTCACGGTTGGATGGTTGGATTGGTTGGATTGGTCTCTCTTTCTTTGAGAGATATGTCATATTTGCATGGCCATATCGATTGATGGAATGGATTGATTTGATTATCCGATCTGATAGATCCCAAGATAATTGGGAATCGAATCTGACCCATCACCAGGGAAAGGATCTTTTTCGCACAAACCGAAAAAAAACCGTTCCGAAGGTGGGGCAAACCCAGAGGGCAAGAAGGAACTTCTCACAAGCGATCTTTCGGTTGACACACGATTGAGGCTGAGCCGTATTATGCATGTAATCTGGGCATTTCCTCTTTTTTTTTTTATTTACTTTTCTTTTCGAGAGAATTTATAAAGATAGTGGGATCTACGGACGAAACCCTTTTTTTTTCTTGTGTGTGTGGAGGGGCCAGTTAAGCTAATGTATGCACGTTGGAGGCGATAATGACAAAGGATTTCAAAAAAGGGGACTTTGGTATACGCCTTGCAATGGTGAGTATGTATGTAGGTATGTATGCATTGTAGTGTATTGAGGTGGGGATTGCTATATATACCCGGCGCTTCTGAAGGGTATATGGATCTCATGTGAGTGGAGCAATGGCTGACGTCGACATTTGGTAGCGTGTTTTGCGGCGTTTGGCGATCTGGATTGTGGGTATGGTATCTTCCGGCGGGAACCAAAATACTATGTATCTACTTTGTACTCGGCCTTTTTCGGTTTCATGTTGCTTGTAACTGACTTTCATTGAAGCGGATCAGATTAATGGAATAGCTTAGTAATATTGATTTCGCATGTTAGATTCTAGACCTTGATTGATTTGCAAGAAGGGCGGTGAAAAAAAAAAAAAAAAAAAGAGAGAGAGAGAGAGAATGAGATCTTTGATCCTGGGCATTTCGTAATGCGGTTCCTTGGGTATCAAAAAGTATTTGAATTAAAATTCTCCCACAGGAAGAAAAACCAAAACTAAAAAACCGTCAGCCCCCTGGCACGAGATCTCTCGTATGCCATGCCACCCGAGTGGGGAAAACGGGTTTCTTTTCAAACGGGGTAAATCAAGCTCCAGCTTGAGTTTTGTGAATTACTCTTTTCAGCTTTTTCTTTTCTTGATTAATTGTCGATGGAAACGAGGGTTTTCCTTTCGGTTTACTGTACAGCCAGCTAATGCTTCGTTAGGTAAAGAGTCCGAAGCTTACATGCAGCAGAGGGACTTAATAATTAAATACCATGGCTTTTTTGCTACGTTATGCGTATTCATATATTATATATGTGGATGTAAGGAAGTATGTATGTAAACCCTTTGGAGATGATTGTGCATGAGATCTGAAGCTTGTGCTTGAAGGGGAAGTGGGAGTGGGTTAGCTTTTGGGGCGCCAGGGGTATGCTTCTAGCTAAACCAATTCATGCTAGGAACCCTGATTGATTTGTATTTACAGCCCTGTTGCTTCGTAGACTGTGGCCGTTTCATCGAATTTTAATTCCAAGTGGTACTTACTTATGTATTCATGAATTGATTGGGGGAAGGAAAGTATGTAAGTGCAGCGGTCCTGCAGCCGACAGATATACAAGCAACCAGCCTTCTTTTTAATTATTATTATTTTTCCCTCATTCCCTTGTTGAAGTCTGTTTCTTCTCTCTTCTTTGCTGTTCTTCTTCTTGGAAATTAAAAAAATATATTCAAATCACGGGCATAATTCCGGAATTGTTGAAGTTGTACAAAAGCTGTGTCGTTACAGAGTTTCCGCCAATAAACGCCGGTGCATGATATGATGGTTTAGAGAGAAAAAGAGATACGAGAGAGAAAGAGAGAAAGAGAGACGCCCGTGTGCGCATTTCCGTTTACTGCGCCTGCTTTGTCGTCGTCGTCTTTTTTATCACATTCCTGTTTATCTTTTTCTTACCGTTTGGCTTGACTTTCTCATGATCATTCGAGGTTCTCCTAGCTCTTTAGTACGATAGATATATGATACCTCCCCGTCTTGAATCTTCCCATTCTCATATTCCCCATTCCCCCAGCTCTCTCGTCCCGCCATCGTCAATTGTACTCTTTCGGGGAGCATTGTGCGAGTACACATTAAAAGAGAGCGCGCAAAGAGCGAGGGAGAAAGAGCAGTACTTATTTATTGATATCCCCGGTCGAATTCAACGTCACATTGCAACCGAATCAAATTAGAATTCCAAGCTAGTCCGACTAGCTACCAATACGACCACGAGCGGACGAACCCAATTGCAATTCGATACGGTTACGATAACTAGCTGCTAGCTAGTCGAGCCAAGTACCTTTTTACTCCTGAAAGGAATACCATCATAATACATCATTGGCCCTCTGTTTTAGCTGTTACTATTACCATTCGGGGAGCACAGCCTTGGGAGCCCAAGCCAGGAAAGAGCCATAAGCAGCAAACGGCACGACCATCACCTGCTTCTGTCAAGACATTTGGCGGAGAACGGCAGTTACGGTGTTCCATCTTCGCCGTTTCTGTTCCTTTCTGTCTTTCTTTCTTCCTCTTCCTCTTCCTCTTCTTTCTTCTTCTCCTTCTTCTCCTTCTTCTTCTACTCCCCTAGTGCGACTATAGTATACCTCGGAGGGTTCGGAAGACCTAGGGGGACATCGATATATCCCCACCATCATCATTGATCACCATCAGGCACCATATATCACGATATCACCATCACTATCAGATATTATATTGTCAGCTCCGAATATTAATCCAGAATCGAATAAGAAGAAGCAGAGGCAAGGAGCGAAAAGAATACTTGCTGGTTGTGCCCCGAGCTAAACCGCATCCTTCAGTTCGCTTAAGCCCGCCTGGCTCCTTAAGTCACTTTATAAGACGCTATTCTTATACATCCGCCCAGGACTTCTATTCTCAGCCCCTAGCCAGCCAGCCCAACCAGCCCAGCCTAGCAAGCATTGCAAGCCGGCAGCAGCCAACCAACCAGCCAGCCCGGTTTTTTCTGTCCTGTTGCCTTGCCTGACACCGACGGACAGGGCGGGTGTTTGACATCTTCGGATCTTTTGGAATTGTTTTTTTCTGGTTTATTATTTTAAATATTTTGACTGGCGAAAAAAAAGAAGGGGGGTTCTTGTCAGCCGCGATTCTTTGCTTCGAGCTTACTACTTCTTCTGACTGGCTTCCTTTACTTACCACAGACGACGCCCACACTTCAGTTCCTCCTTCTGTTTTATTTTTCCAACCTTCCCCAGCTTTATACCCTCCTCTTGACTATTCCCAAGATCCCGGAAAGAAAGAAAGACAGAAAGACAGAGCCCAGCTTCAGCTCCAGCTTACTGTCTGACCTCTTATCCTTTCGTTTTCTTTTTCTTGTTCCGTCGTTCTTTCCTTCTGTCGACTGTCGTTGTAGTTCTGTCTTTCGTTCAGCACAAGCAATGGCACCTCCTTTAATACCGAAGCCCATCGAGCGCCGGCAAGCACGCGGAACCAACGCAGAGCCGCCACAGTCAGAAGACCCGGCATCGCCCACCCCCTCGTCCAGACCCAATGCCGCCAACGACCGACAAGATGGCCCTCCTTCTCCGACAGAGACCAGACCCCCTCGGGCATCAGGTACTGCCTCTGCTTCTCCCTCGCCGACCACTGCGAATTCTAGTGCGAACAACCGGAACGGGCTGAACATGACGTCGACACAATCCGGCATCGTAATTGTATGTGTTTCCTGTCCCCCTCCCTCCCTCTTTTTTCTAATATATATAAGTTGGCAATTACTATATCATTGGGAAAATAAGCTAACAAATTGATTCTTTCTTTCTTTTTTGAAACTGGTTCAGGCTATAGTAGCAATAATCGGTGTCATCATCCTCGGCTTCCTAACCTACATAATCTTAAAATCCGTCCGTCTACGCTACAAAGACCCCAAGTACCTACCGGGTTCCTGGCTGAAAAAGAAATGGCAAAATTGGGATGTCATGGGCTACCAGGCCGCCGGTGGGAACAATTCTTCATCTGGTTCGAGCACTCGTCAAAACCAAGCACGTATCAACCGCGTGGCCCGGTCTCGTGCGAATATCGAAGCAAACCGAGCGTTGGATCGTCAAAACAGCGTGAGAAGCGTTATTACCCTCCCACCGTATCGTGAAATGGCAGAGATGGATTTGGAACGTACTATCGGAAGGGAAGGTGAACGTGCAGGGCTCGATACCATCGTCCAACTCCCTGAAACAGCAGAGGAGGAAGAAGATCGCAGAGAAGAAAGAATGCAGGCTATGTACGAACTCCGACTGCAGCGACGAGCACAACGGGCCGCAAGAGAGGCTAGATCTGGGAATGGCAGCGTAACAACACTTGGAACAGAAGGAAACAATAATGGAAACGGATCTTCGGTTTCTCTGACAGCTATGGACATGGAAACCGGTGGTAGTGGACGGACGACGAGTGAACTCACAGCGGCTATCTTAAACGATCGAACACGGAGACTTTCAGAGGTTTCTTACGCAGATGTCGGGTACGCAAGGCACGATGGTAGTCGTGTAAGGTCCGCCTCTTCAAATAGGAACAACGCTGCATCCTCGGATTCCCAGCCTTTACTTGCCGATAACGCTACTAGCGGAGGTGCTGGTAGACGCTCGCGCGCCGGGTCTATGTTGTCGTTAAACACCAATGTTACAGACGGAAGAGGAAGCATGGACCGGAGAGATTCGGCTGAATTGCTCACTGGCGCGGATATTGGCGAAGTACGGTTGCCACCGAGTTACGATGGATTGGATTGGGGCGATGCACCGCCTTATATGAGCCCCGTCAGCCCGCCAGCGAGAAGCGAAAGTGCTGCGACCAGGAGAAGACCAGTGCCCAGCCAGGCAAGCGAGCAACCGGGCAATCTGAATGTCCCGTTGGTGAGGGTTATTGGAGCC